CCCCCCCCCCGATAGCAGAACAGCCTCCCAAATCATCGGTGCATCAGTTAGGCCCTTGTCTCCCCAAGCCCCACCCATTAGGATTCATCCGGCTCTCCCGCTGTCTACCTGTGATCCAGGGCAGAACCGGGAGCCCTCGCTGGGGACAGAGCCCATCATCACGTGGAAGGACTTCCAGAAGACCATGCCCTGGGAGATTGTCATTCTGGTGGGAGGAGGCTATGCTCTGGCTTCTGGCAGTAAGGTAACTCTTGAATTCTGTTCTTCTTGGGCCAAAGATTTTTTAAGCAGCTTTCCCTGATGAGTCGTTTTGATTCTGGGAGGAAGATTCATAGGCACCGAGGGAACAGTAGAGCCAGGCGTGGATCCCCTGCCCTGCCCCGAGCCTCTAAGCCGGTGCTGCTGAGATCAGCCGTGCTAGGGAGTCACTCCCACCTCACTCACCGGCCCACACTGCCACAGGCAAAAGATTGACTGCACTTTACAGCCATGTCCTTCGGGGCATTTGACGGTGGTGGGAGATGTGTCTCTAAGGGTCCAGAGACACCCCACACCTACACACAGCCAGCTGTCCCTCCCTCGGTCAGTCCACATGCTTATGTTGAGCCCCTTTGGAGAATGTATGCTAAAGCTGACGTAAATGCTATTCATAGGCCCTGATTTTCTGATTGGGAGGAATTGGGATGCGACCTTATAAAAGGGGCTGGTGGGAAATAGTTGAATTTCCTAAAGTGTTAGCCTTTCCTGAAATAGGAAACGATCCCCCAAATGAATCAGGTTCACACTGTTTCTCCCTTGACTTTCGCTATATTCATTAACTTGGCTCACTTTTTGACTGCCCATTCGTTGAAGGTCAAGGCTATCTGCATCAGTAATAATATCACAGAATCCTCCACTTGGAAGGAACCTTGGAGGACACCGAGTCTGATCTCCTACCCAGTTGAGAGAATTCCAACCCCTGGGCTTGGACCCCACCAGTGACAGGGCACTCCCTGAGCAGGGAACAAAGAATTGTTCTTTACTTTTAGCTCAGATCTTCTATATGTCTTCCACTCTTGGCTCTGGCTCTGTCCTCTGGAACCCCACCCTAGGTAATAATTATTAAAGTCATAAAAAGTTATTAGATCCCCTTAGACCTTTTTTTTCCCCCCCCAACAAAAACTCCCTAATTCCTTCAACCATTCTTCAAGAAGTAGTGACCCCTTACCATGCTGGCCTCTCTCCTCAGCCTCACGACACTTTGCCCTTGGCCTTATTTAAACGTGGTCCAGAGGTGGTCAGTCTACTGCAGAGTAAAGCAGTCATATTACCCAAGCCCCATCTCTCACCTCTGATCCAAGCACCAATCTGTATTTATATGGAAGCTTTTATAAGGCTTCACTGGCACTCATGTCAACATTTATATTGAAATTGCAGCCAACTAAAACCCTCATTCTTAGCCACTATTAAACGTCCCATCTTTCAGCCAATCCTGTATATGTGCTGTTGGTATTTCTAATTCCAAGTTCTAAATATCATACTTATCTTTATTGAATTTCAGTTGTTAGTTTTGGCCCCTGAGTCTAGCCTGGAAAGATTTTTTTTTTAACCAAAGTTTTGTATGTATTACAGATAGCATAGTTGATATTTCTGTAAAATCTACTGACTCTACTAATTTAATAATATAATTCAAGTGTGATATAGGTGATTCCTACCGAGTTTGAAATAATTTCAGTCTTGACATGAGGAAAATCCAATGTAAAATGTTTTAGTATCAAGGTTTAAAAAAAAAAACAAAAGACTTCCTTTGTTGTGCTTTTTTCTAACTTGGCAATCTAATTTATCAATTTATTTCAAATTACAATATAAAATAGCTTCTGGAAAAATTTGCTATTAAATTTTTTTCATGTTACTTCTGAGTACTATCTGGATAATGTGATCAGTGGAACTCCATTTCTTTATAAGTACTGTTTCCACTCAGCTAACTGCTCTTCCTCTCCTTTGTCCAGTGGGTACGGTTTAATGTGCTATAAGAGGTAACAATCACAGAGTTCCTGTCGGCCCCAAAGCTCTGTACCAACCATGAATTGCTGTAGTCCCCACATGTTGGATTTGCAGCTCACAGGCAGTGGAGCAAAAGGAGAAAAGAAAGTGCTCCCAGGGGGCATCTGCCTTCAGCTCAGGTCATGATCCCAGGGTCCTGGGATGAAGCCCCACATCGTAGTTGGGCTCTCTGCTCAGCAGGGAGCCTCCTTCTCCCTCTCCCTCTGCCTGCCGCTCCCCCTGCTTGTGCTCTGACAAATAAATAATATCTTAAAAAAAAAAGAAAGAAAATGTTCCCAGGTAAAATGGCCACAGCAGAGATCAAATAGCCTTTGGTGAATTCGGAAAAGGGGAGAAAAATCAGCCTGCTGGTAATGTGGTGAGGCTGTCTCTAATAGTAAAATATGAGTAGGACTTAAGAGCTTGAGGAATCATAAAATGTCTCACCTTGCTTTGGGCCCTACTCTCCAGGTCTGTAGTGCATTGGCAGTCTCTAGGGTAAGCAGGAAAAGTTAGAGCACATCAGCCATAGAAGGGAGAGGAGGAGGCAGGGAGGGCCGGCGAATGCATATGACAACGTGAGGTTTTTAGTACAAAAACTCAACTGTGTCCTTTAATTTTCTGAAGGAGGGAGGGATCTTCACTATTGACAAAGGAACAACTTCTAACCAAAGAAGTTATTCCAAGTGGGAAATATTCATTTATTGGAGATCTATATAAATTTTGCTAACGGAAAAGGTTCAAGAGTGGCACCATGCCTTCATATCTTGTGTCGTGAAAAAGCACTGGTGGACTGTAGATCCTGATGTCAGCCATGATGAGATTGAACCTGAAACAGGCCGGACCGCCATGACCAGCTTTGTGGGCCAGCCAGGTGGCACCCTCCCACTGAGTGCGGATAGACTGGGACTCCCTCTATGTAAAGCTTCTAATGTTCAGCCCTGCCCACTGACTCCCCACAAGCCACAGGAAAGGTTACTGTCCAAAGATGTTGATAATCTTCCCCCCTTTCACAGGTGATGAGAGCTAGATTTCAAAAGGAGAATTCAGGATTACATTGGGGAGTCTGTGTCAAAATCACTGCTGACTGGATGCACAGAGTGAGAATGTCAGAGGCTGGAGAGAGTAATAAGATTGAAGTTGAAGGGCCCGTTGCCCCAAAGATCTCCAGCCCCTGCCAAGCCGTCATGGCAGAATCCTGAGAAGAATCATAGCCATTAGGATGGACAGCTCTCCATGCGCTGTGATGACTGCCCAGGAAACCCTAAGACTGAATGTTACTACAATCATAAAGAATTTTCTGGGCTGTAAAAATGATTCCATCATCAAATCAGTAATGCTTCTGGGTCCAGTCTGCCTGAAAATAGGATGGCAAATTAGATGCCTCCTAGTGGTTCCTTCCAGCCCCCCAACATCCCTGACCTCCTGGAGTCTAAGAATTCCATGGAGAATGTGTTCTTCCTCCTCTCTTCTTACTGTATCACCCGTCTCCCTGTAGAGCTCTGGCCTCTCCACGTGGATTGGGCACCAGATGTTGTCTCTGAGTGGCCTCCCACCGTGGGCTGTCACCCTTTTGGCATGCATCCTGGTGTCCATTGTCACAGAGTTTGTGAGCAACCCAGCCACCATCACCATCTTCCTGCCCATCCTATGCAGCCTGGTGAGTAGGGCAGGGCCCCCAGATGTCTGGAGGGGTTGCCCCGGGCCCAGGGAGCAGCTCCCCAGCTGTACTCTCTCCTCTGGTCATTGCCAGACCTCAATGATTGGTCTCCAGCCATAGTTTGGAAATGAAGTGTTTCAAATTTGATAGATAGACAGACAGACAGATAAATGGTAGCAAGGGCCCTAGAAACCCTTTTCTGAAAGACTAGGATTAGTTTAGAGGCAGTCCTGAATGGAAACAAGAATGCACAGAATATCCTTAAAACCCTAGGATTCCAATTCCTCACAATCATCATTTCTTTCTCTCCTAAGACCTAAGAGTAGGGCCAGAGGAATAACTACAGAAAATGGGGGCAAAATGCTCCCAGAGGTACACTCAGCTGTAAAGACCAAGACCACAGCTCTATCATCACCACCTCCCCCCAGTTTCTCAGTCCAGGGGGTCTGAGAATTGAGGCAATGCCAGCCTCATCTCATGGTCTCAGAACAATTTGTTATTCATGAATGAGAGGAGGGGAGCAACTCCCAGATCTCAGCCTGGCTAAGCAGGCCCCGAGGTAACGGACCAGACACAATGCTGCATCTGTCCCATTAGTGAGGGGAAACCTATCAAATGAAGGCTCCTCCCCATCCCCAACAAAATGATATCCTTCTGCTTTAACCCCAGACTACCCCCAGCCACTGTCTTTGCTCTTTGCTCAGGTGTCTCCTTCCAACCGCTCCCTCCATCATCTCATTTGTGTGAGCCTTGGCGTGCACTTAGTTAAAACTCAGCAACACTGAGGGCAAGACCATGGGTTTCAATCCCATACAAAGCAAACATCACCTAGAAAAACACCTTAGTTCTGCACCCCAAGGATGAGGGACCCCTACCTCAACCCAAGCAGCTCATTCATGAGATTTGAGTTTGAAGAATGAATCTCTCAGCTAAAGGATAAAATCAGACCAGCACCAAGAAATCAAACATCCCTTCTAGGAAGAAACTCAGAGCCCATGTTTCCATGGGAGTGAGCAGCATGAGCCCCTTGAGTAGTGATTTAACTGCCCTCAGCACATGATAACCAGCCAAGGTTAGCCAAAGTCAAGCCACCTTTTAAAGCATGTTTGTGATGTGAAGCCCAAGAAATGAGAGCTGCATCTCAACGCTGATGTTTCTGTGAATTCTCTCTTCTCCTAGTCTGAAACGCTGCACATTAATCCACTCTACACTCTGATCCCAGTCACCATGTGCATCTCGTTTGCAGTAATGCTGCCCGTGGGCAATCCCCCCAACGCCATTGTCTTCAGCTATGGGCATTGCCAGATCAAAGATATGGTAAGTCGTGGATGCCCTCTTCCTACTGTGAGGACAGGGACGAGTGGCTCCACAGCCTTCTCCTGAGGCTTATCATTTTGTAGCAGTGTCTGTGATCTGTCAACACTCAGTCTAGTGTGGTCGAAACAATGGTGCTGGCAAAAAGGCCTTCAGCTGGTCCACAAGCACCAAGAATAGCAAGAATATGCTCTCCCACCCTTCCGGGAGAAAGCGGGTACACAGACAGAGACAGCTGGAACAGACCCGAGATGCAGCCCAGGGTGAGAAGGCACAAGGCTCTGCCCCAGTTTCTTCACTGGACCAGGTGGGATGTTCATTGCAAAAGCTGCCAGTTTACTCATAGAAGGGAAGTAGGAGAAACTGTAGGAACCTAGGGTGAAAGGTCTGAGGGGACAGGACCCTCCGTCGAACGCAAGAAGCCCGAGGCAACAATGGCAAAATGAAGCACCCACACCTCCTTTCCTAGTTCTCAGCTGGACTCCCACAAGATGGCTGAGGAGACATCTGGTCAGATTGTAGTGTTGGGCCTATTTACCCTCGACCCCTCAACCTATACTCACTGCTGTGCTCCTGGATATCCAGGCCACTGGGGGAAAGATGAAAACCACTCCTAATTACTGGGGCTGGGCTGTCTGAAATAGGGCTCAGTCCCCCTTCCCGAGGGTCTCACACATTCAGCAGCCCTGTAAATAGCAAACGGAGGAAAGGGAGAGCGTCAGGCTGGTCGCAGATATTCAGATCCTTTCTACCATTCAAACCACTCATCGAAGTCATCTGTAATACTTCAGGGAAGGGAGGGCACAGCTATGGCCCCCCCCTCCCCCTCATCTCTTATTGCACAACCCTGTCTGCTCAAGAGTTGAGCTCGGTCCCAACTCTCCTGTCCCCCCACTTCCTCTTCTGGGCACCCCCACCACTCACCCCCGCCCCCTGCCACCATCTTTTCTGGAATCAGGTGATCAAAGACAGTGCCTTTCAAAGGTACCAGATGACAAGAAGTAAGCCAGTCGTGGGTTCTATTCCCAGCCCGGCAGACCTGAGACCTCCATTTCCTCATCTGCGTAAGATAGGGGTTCCAACTAGAAACTCTGCGTGGTTCCTTTCAGCTCTAAATGACTTGAATTCAGCCCCTTTAAAACCTGCCTCCTCTGGCTAGGGGACGTGGGCAGTTCTCCACGCCCAAAGCCCAGGTAGCCAGGATGATTAGTAAGTCCAGGGCTCTGGCCAGAAAGCAGAGAAGCAACACATCTAGTCACTTGCTTGGAACATTCATTCTCCCTCACAGCTTTCCCAACTCAGTGCCAGCTAGTGGACCCGTGGTGGCTACAGCGGTGTGCTTCGTTCCTCCCTTGTAGGCTGCCAGCCATCCTTACCGTCCTTTTTTCCAACTGGCCTGGCTCTGCCAGCCATCATCCCTCACACCCCCTCAGCCTGTGTCAATCCCACAGCAGAAATGGGAGGGTTCAGGGTCATGGACGTGACATTCCCTCAGCAGAAAGAAGCAAAGCTAGCGTGTGTCACCCTCCCATGGAAGGAAGGGCTGAGCAGAGGCAGCTGACCTGGTTCTCCAGGTGAACCCAAGGGACACTACTTTCCATACGCTGTTCCTTTGGGAAGGAAAAAACAGTGCACAGTGGCAAAGGCTTCGTAGGATAGCGCCTCTCCTACGGGTCCCCTATGTGTCAGCACCATAAAGGCTCCAAGAAGTTCCTGCCTTAATGCATTTCCCTATCATGTAGCTACAGGATCCTTGCGTATAACAACTCTTAACATTCTAAGACCTGGTGTTCCAAGTACACGCCTTCCAGGCCTCCACTTGGGAGCGAGAACCCACGTGGAGATGGTTCTACTGGCCTCTCCCATCCTTCCACAGTCCCGAACTACCCTTGGAGGCAACCCTACAGATCCCAGGCAGTGACTGAACAGATCAGGGCCAAGGCGTGGGTGGGGGGCACAGAGAGGAGCACTAGGGGATCTGTGCTGCTGCCTGCTCAGTGACTTACGGTGGGCTGGTTTGTGTCCTGTAGGTGAAAGCTGGCCTGGGGGTCAATGTCATTGGCCTGGTGATCGTCATGGTGGCCATTAACACATGGGGAGTTAGCCTCTTCCACTTGGACACTTACCCAGCCTGGGCGAAGGTCAGTAACATCACTGATCAGGCCTAACACAAGTGGGCAAATGGTCCAACTGAAGAAGCTGCCAGCACCTAACAGAATCTGACCAAGAGGCCAAGAAAGCCACCAGGAGCACACAACCAACACCAGGAGATTCCACCACCTGCCACCTCAAGTGAAGTGCAGCAAGTCTCCGACAATCAAAACACATGCTTGGATGTTAGTGCCTTCTGCTCTGCCCCCGTCCTTAGCACCATAGTTCAGGGAGACCTGTGCTCTTTCTCACTTCCTGTATCTTGGGCTCTCCACTTCTTTCTGAAGACAGGAAGAGAAGACCTTAGTTGCCCCTGAGAGGCTAAGCCTCACACACTAGCCTCACTAGGTTTATTCTTAATATCTGAACCCCTTTTTAGGAACTGAAGGGGAAATCCAAATCATTCTACCTACACACAGATAATGAAGCCAGGTACATCTCCTCTTTCAGAGGAAAATCTCCCCCAGAATTTTCTCTTCAGTGTTTCCATCCTAAGCTCTTACCACAAAAAGGCAATCTTGTAAGTCGTCTTTGTGGCAATCAGTACTCTTTTATCATTACTTAAGCATCTCCCTTCAATGGCTTCTCTTTACCTTTGGCACCAAATTCCCATAAGGAAACAGCGTTCTCCCTTGGAAAGGCGCTGGCAGGGTTCTCTTTGTCAAAGGAAAAGTAGAGGAAGAAGACACATTGAAGTTAGCACAGGTATCCCCCGCTCTTCAGAAGTTCTAGTTACACCACTTCACTTTTACAAAAGACCTACGTCAGTACCTGTTTTCGCTAACCGAAAGAAATCTGAGGAGGATTTTCAGGTTTATGAGAACCTGGTTCTCAGCACTGGTTTTGCAGCGAGCCCTTAGAGGAGCAGTGCGCAACCTGAGCAGCTAGAGTGGTGCCACCATGCCCCCTCCCAGGAAACAACACCCAGCATCTCAGCATCCAGCTGCCAGAGCTGTGAACATCTGGGCTTTATCTTTATTTTGTGCCCCCGTTAGCAAGTGTCCTAAGGTATCAGAGAAGCCTAAGAGAGGTTCCTTTTTGAGTCTGCGAATGCTCAAATATTTTTCCATATAAATGAATGGTAACTGCTGCTTTGCTCGATGCCATTTCAGCTTACAAAAGATTTCATAGGAATGATCTACTTTTGGATAGCGGGGGACACCTGTCTCTCTCATCACTTACCACTAATCCTCAATACCACTGCACTGGTTCAGTTGGGAGGGAGAAAAAATTCTCATACCTGTCTTATTAATGAGGCCAAAACTATCATTAAGACCACAGTACTATTAATGATATCTGACTAGCTTTCTTCTGGATGTAATGAGGAGTTCGTTCCTGAGAAGACAAGTACAGAAAGTTCCAAACGCATCAGTCACTTTCTACAAGTCAGCTCCTTGAGGGGAGAGAAGATGTCTTATGTTCCTGAAAGTCTCCAGCAACTTATACAATATAGTAAACTAACTACTCAATAAATGTTGCCCGTGAAAAAAATCACTTCGGAAATCAAGGCCTCCTGCTTCCTCCTGAAAACCACGCCATTCTCCCCACGACACATGTCCTTGCTGTATGACTGGATATAGCTCCCAAGCCCCCCGCCAGCTTGTAGGCAATACATAGTTCTGACTTCTACCACCAGTTCCTTGCTAAATCGGTCTTATTGGATAAGGAATACCCCACAGTTACTCCATTCTTTTAATTGATTTTAAGTTACTATTGATAGCATGGGCAGTTTTCCCACACAATAACTTATCAATAAAGTCACTCCCTTAGTTTATCAAGTATCTGTGAGTTCTAAAATTTCTTTTGTGCCGGCCAACACTTGCATGCTCTGACCACAGCACAACTGACCAGATTTAACCACGGACATTACTGCTTCTGCGCTATCAACTGGCTTAGGCCACGTTATCTGACTCCTTATAAAAAAAATAAAGACCTACTGAGCCCAAATAAAATACTAGTGTTATGTACACTGTAGCTGGTTTGATCGAGTCAGCATCTTGACAGTTATTTTGCTATAAAATGTTCAGAAAAGTCAGGGTGTTCTCATATTGTCAAGCTGCCAAACTGTCAACTGTCTGACCCATTACAGAACTTAGCCACCAAGCCTCTAGTCACATTAAGACAAAGGTGCAAATAATAAGATTCCGGGAGTATAGATAAGTAAAAAGAGAAAGAAGAGGTGACTTAGAATTAAGCGGACTCAGAATTCCTGGCCACTGCTCCTCATTCGAGAACCTCACTCAGTCCTAAAGGGAAGCAGTGCAACTCCCCTCCGCGGCTGCAGCCAGATGCTCCGAAGGGCTAGTGCACTCAGTTTAGAAAGAGCATTTACTTCCGACGGCTCCACCGACTCTTCCCAAGAGCAGCACTCTTCCTTCCCAAAGCCAGAGGGCAGGCTAACCAAGCCGGCTCCTTCCAGTGACAGAAAATGGCAGCGATGACTAACAACTCCTGTCATCTAAAATCACTCCACTGGTGGACAGTAAGTAAGGGCTCACCTTAGTATTAGTAGTCTTAGGGTTTCTTGCAAATATATTCTAATTTGATTTTTATCTTCTAATATCACAACACTATATGGATGGAAAGCAGTAATGATCATCTATACCAGCTCATTTTATAGATGACTGAGAAATGAAGACATTAAGTTTAGTTGCACCTTATTTTCAAGTCAATTACATATCAAACTTGCTTAATTGCCTATGAAAATTGCCTTTGACATTCCTTTAAGTCACCCATGAAGTACATGGTACAATCTTTTATATTAGGATTTACATGGCAAAGACTCATGAACCATCTTTTAGTAAATAAAAGATAGCTAGTTTTCCCTCAGAAATGTCAGAATAAATCTGTTTCTTCAGTTGAATACCAAATAATGCAGTTGGCTTCACACTTAGGGACCATGTTTGAAAAATACATCTGGGGGCACCTGGGTGGCTCGGTCAGTTGAGTGTCTGCCTTTGGCTCAGGTCATGACCCCAGGGTCCTGGGACCAAGCCCTGCATCAGGCTCCCTGCTCAGTAAGGAGTCTGCCCTTCCTCTCCCTCTGCCCCTACCTCCCGCTCATGCTCTCTGTCTCAAATAAAATCTTTAAAAAAAAGAGAGAAGAAAAGAAAAAGTACATCTAAACATTAGAATAACTCTCAGTATAGCAAAATGTTCAAACCACTGGCACACAAAGGCCAGAGAAAACCCTAGTACACAGGTAACCCATCCTGCGGCTGCCCTCACTAAACGAATTCCAAGCACGACTGCCCGGCCATTTACATGGTGACTCTTTCTTGTCCCGATGCTGTACAGCTGTACATGCAGGAATGATGCAACCACACTGCCCTTTTCATAAGGCTTTGCCACTTGGGCAATGATCCAAGCAGACCACGGCTCAAGCTTTGCAATGCCCCACCCTGTTCACTTTCCATAAAACCCCACTGTTCTGTCATTTCCCAGCGCCTTGCAAAAAAAATGTACTTGACTAAATTATGATGCACGGAGATTTAGAAAAGGTATAGACTAAACATGAAAATCTAAGTGTCACAAACTCCCCTATTAAGACCGGGCAAGATCTCAAAATATGTTCCCTTCACCACCCTGTTGCCTTCCACAAGGCCCTAACAGTCACTAGGGAAAAAAGAACTCATTCATGAGTAAGGAATGGAAATGCTATGTGCAGAGTCCAAGATGGGACTCCAGTACAGTCTGTGGTGTTCCTTCCGGGAGAATACCAGAAGAAGTACTAAAAAGGCAAGAGACCTCAGCAGAAAAACAAACACCGGCAGAGTATCTAGGGAGTGAACTGCGTAGTGGAAATGAAAACATTATGCGTGTGTACATATGCTCTACAAACTAGAAAAACCACACACTGCACTTTCTCTGCAGTCCTACAAATGAAAACTGAATAAATGGGTTAGAAAAAATGAAACTGTTCCTTTAAATCAGGAGGTCACTGCCTAATTGCATAAAACACCAAATCAAAAGAAATGTCTAAAGGCATCAATTGGTAACTTCAAGTCCTAAAATATAGCCCCTTTTGATGATTTTAAATACAGTTGTTTGGGTTTTTCTCTCCCTTTGTTTGGGAGGATGATGGTTTAAGGATAAACTTTTCAAGTTCATTGTGTTTATGAAGTTCCCAACATCAATCCTAAAGTCCTATTCTGTACAGTTGGTAACCTTCCTTTTATGATCAGGTATGGCCAAAAGTTTTCTTAAATCACATCAACAGGAGTTTTCAAACAATTTTAAAAGGAGAAGAGTATGTCTTGTTATTCTTCCCATCCCTCTGATGGTTTGTGAGGCAAAAGTCCCTACAAAACACCCAGGGAACGCAACTCTTAGTGCCACAATCACACTCACTGCAACCCTCACCCACATTACAAAGTTTCAACCACACCCTAAAATCTGTGATGGTTCTCAGCTCCTCCTCTATCTCAGGGAGGATAATCTCACCTGAGAACTCTGAGCCCCGTTTCGCTGCTGCAAGAACCTAAAACTAGAAGAGGGTACTTGAAGAGTGACCACTGAGGCAGCCTGTTCTCACTGTGTTGCAGTTCACATGAAGGTGAACGCAAGAACGGAGTTGCTGGATGGTTCCCACTGGTAGAAATGAGCCTATTAGCAAAGGGAAGAGTCAGTCATTCCTGAGGAAGCCCTATATCCAAATGAGGTTAGACATAATATAGAGATACTTAATCTCCTACTACCTAAATTACCTTTATCCCTAAAAAGCCACTCTGTAAACGACACACGAGCAATCATGCTACCATATCTGTGACAAGGAATCACACTTTGGAAGCCCCTTTCTAAACCTGTAGCATTTTGAATACCCTCAAAGGTGGTAAACCTTTATCCTTTAAGGCTGTGGTTCATTCTGCTAACAATTCAGTTATTCAAGATCAAATCTTGTGAACCAGGAGGTATGATCAAGGTAGATACTCTAGATTTTCATCAGCAACCAAGAGAGTGACCACAGAATGACAAATTTTGCATGGCTCATAAACTGGTTCCAAAAAAATGACTGCAGAAAAATAAAGTATTCTGACCAAAAGCAGCATGTTTGGACCAATATCTATTATTTATTGGGCAATTTGCAAAGCACTGTGCAACACATCACACACATAATCTCATCTGTTTCTCATGTGAGCCGTGTGAGGTAGATATTGCGTCCACATCTTAGAGAATACAACAGTGTCAAAAAATAAGCCCCTTGCCCATGATCTCACTTCTAGGGTAAAGCCAAAGCATAATATGCTGCTAATCTGTATCACATACCAGGACAAGCTGCCAGAGATAAAACCTATACCCATGAATGAGAGATCCCTGTTTCCAAAGAGAAGCAGAACCCCTTTGTTTTAGAATCACACAGTACCAATGTCATCACTGTCTGAAAAAAAGGTGTCTCTAAATTCCTCCTTTCAGTTTATGGATTCTGCTAAAATGTCTTCAGAAATGGCATTATCAGTGAGCTGCCTGCCAAGTCCCTAAAACAAAACACACAATCAAATGGGACTTTATCTAGAGTTAGTGCAATTTATACTGTTAGGGTTTAGTTTATAGCTATACCCTGCACAGATATGTACAGTAACTTTAGGTTCAAAGTTATCACTGTAACAGCAAAAGACAGGAAACCTAACGTTCATCAGTAACAGATTAAATGCGTTATGGTATATCCATTCAATAGAATCTCATGTAGCCAAAAAAGGGAAAGAGGTTTCTTGTTCCTTACATACTGATATGGAATGATCTCCATTAAGGGGGAATAAAAGAGGGGGGAGGGGGGCGAAGGGTGAACTCAATACAGTTTATGATTTGTGTAAAACCCCCCCCACACACACATGTATTTGTTTAGGCAGAGAATCCTTCTCAGAGTATACAGGAGACTGTTGATAGTGCCTGCCTCCAGGAAGAGGAACTAGGAGCTGAAGGACAGGAGTATGAGAGGGCCTTTGCTCTGAATCACTTTTGTATCCTCACCCAGGGTACAAGTGATGTATATAAACATTTAATTTTTTAAAAATGGACTAATTATATATTTGACAAATTACAATGTGATCTTTCTCTTTCTCTCCTTCTTTCTTAAAGTAACAGAAGTTTACTGAATACACTGCAAGGGGGCAACGGGCAGGACAGCAAAGGAGAGACTGCCAAGAGGTGGTGATGAGGGGCCACAGTTATAGGGAGAAGTAAGGGGCTACGGAATTCTCCCTTTTTGGCAATCTCAGGGACCGTGACTGGTTTTAAGTAGCCCATTGGTCGGTTAGGGCCTATGGCTTAATGAGCCTGTATGCATCAGCTCGATGGTCACTGTGGGCCCTTTTGCCTTGCTCAGGTTTCTATTGCTCAAGCCTGTGGCCTAAAAGTGGCCTCTCTGTTCCACCTCGACAGATCAACAATGACAAATCTTTGGCAATTGGGTGGAGGTCTCATCATAGCTTCTTCCTGCTAAATGAGGGACTTAAGAGATGTCCCTACCTATGGGTCAACATACAATGGTGATTTCTGATTGCAGAAAAAAAAAAAAAATCCTCAAAGTTTCTCATGAGAATCGCTATAAAGGTATAATGTAAATACATTTTTAATGTCAAGAGGCATAAAATTTCCTTTACAACTTGTCATTTATCCATCATGTAACGTCAAATGCACCTGTAATCCCCTAAGATAAGTAGGATTCTTTTGAGGGAAAGGAGCCAAATCAAAGACACGATTAAGGAAAAACATGCATACTAGACTATGAATTCTACGGAGGATAAGGGCCATTATTTTACATTTTTAAACTAACTC